TCACACAATACTTGTACATGTTGTATATAAAGGACAAAAAAGACCATAAAAAAGCACAAGCAGCATTCGCATTTTCTGATCCGCCAATAAAAATCTGCGGCAAATAAAGTCCAGTGTGGACACGGAAGACCAGCTGATTTTTTAATTCCCAACCTGTAGGGCTGTGATACATGTACGTGTATACATGTGCCAACGAGCAATACAAGAAGCACTGCCTACAGGCTATTCCAAAACCGCAAACTTGACGGCGGCAATAGGGAAACAAAACCTTTTGACAGGCAGGTTGATGGCTGCATGCTGAAGTATCACGTTACGTCTTATCTCTTCACCAAAAGACACAATACAAACGTGATGCTGGATGACTGAAACCACGAAGTATGCAGTCACTGTTGTGGATATAATTGTCTGCTTTCATCTTATGAGGGTTGTGGGAACATTCTGAACAAATCAGCCAGAATACCGCGGTGTTGAAATTCAATACCGAATATGTCGGTATTCCGGTATTCATGGATTGTTAGTCGGTATTGTTCGGTATTAAAATCAAAACCGCGGTATTCGGTAATACCGAAATACCGCCCAAGCCAATCCATGACACATTTCATGTTGGAAAGACTACTTACATGGATGGAGGCTCCAGTTGACAAGCTCCACATTCTTGCAGGTACACACAGGCCTACATGTTCATGCCGTTTAGTTTTGTTGTCATCCATGGCGATCAAAAGTCTTTTAAAAATCCCTGGATCGATGCTTTCACACGTATTGCTTTTTTATATGTTAACATCTTTTCATATGACAGTGAATTTTATTATTCTAAACACATCACAGTATATTTGATTAACTACAACCAAGAGATCTTTTTGATATATCGTGTGTTCACATGTATGCACATACATCTGTACATGCACAAACGTGCATGTGCATTGTACATGGCATTGTACAACAGTGCTCCTAAGCCATTGCGTTGCGTTCCACCTACAACCAATTTCGGATACAATGAACGTTTCTGCGCCGATTTTGTAATGACGAGAGTCGACTGTACCGTATGTTGAAATGCAGTTTTGACTTCAAGAAGCATGCGAACTTGTGAAGCAGGTGTTCAGTTTAGAAAATTCACAGTGCAAATTCGGCACCAACTTACGTAAAAAAAAATTATGTTCACATTCGCGCCGATTATTTGAGAGTTGGCAAATGTTGAACATGATTTATCATGCATGTTGACGGATGAGGTGCATCCTGGATGGTCGGTCATGTTCACATGACTCGGACCCTTCCATTTTCTTCAAGGGGAGGGATGAAACCCAATTTTTATATAAACAGCGTCGGGAAAGCTTATAGCAAATAAAATATTTTTAAATCACTTTGTATAGAAAGTAATTATTACTACATGTGTATGCAAACAAAACTTTTTTTTCACAAATGTTTAAACATTAAAAATTAAATACAAAAAAGAATAAATCATCCCTATTTTGGTGAATGAATTCAACCAGGCACCAAACAGTTTACAATTCAGCACGGGGAACAAGTTGGAATCACACATTACAAAATTAAACACAGATTTGTAAAAAAGAATTTCTTACAAATAAAGTAGACTCTATCACAATGTGTAGATTCTTTGGGCATGGTGCATTGCCAGTGTGTGGCTGCTCAGAACAGGCGATCGTGAGTGTATATTGTGCACACGTGGCACGGCGCTGCATGCTCTGCAGGACCTGGCAGGAACTGTGTAGTTGCAGGTACGTACATGTACAGTAAATGTACATTGTACATATGTAATGTACATTCGACTAGTTGCACGGGCCTACTATCATCACTGAACCTACCATTCATTTATGTTGGGAGTTCCAAACTCAGATACCATTATAATGAACATGCCATTCCAATCGCAGGTTGCCTGGACTCTCCGGTACACACAGGTCATGGAATCTGTCGTTCCAATAGCGGACTTTTCAGTCGACATCGATATTTAAATGACGTGACTTAAATTTGGGTAGGGCGTTGTGAATGCAGAGTGCACGGAATATTCATGTTTGCAGATTAACATACACCGTTCTTGCCACGTACGGTCGTCGTCGTCGTCAAGTGCTCTTTTGTTAAAAAAGTTCGCGGACTACAGCGGACTTCCCCCAAGTAGAACGGTCAGGCTTTACTGGCAAGCCCCCAAGGTGTTTAGATTTGGGAAAATAGGTACTTGGAACTTGCTATATGGTGTTGGATTTTGACTAAATACATTTACATGTAGGTACTGTCGACCTGCACTTACCCTGTTGAATTTTGACTGAATGGGTACTGTGCTCCTCTCACGTTTTACCATCAGTAAGTTTGGCCCAGAGAATCCAATTTTTTCACTCCCCCAAACTGGAGGATTCTGGAGGATTGAGAAGGGTCCCAAGCAAAAAGGGCCTTGGGGGTTTGGGTTAAGGTATAATATTTTGCATTTTCTACATGTCATCAAAAACTCATTTTAATGCATTTTGGGGCCACACTGATGCCAGCTTACGTGTCTGCATGTCTGCTGTGCCTTTCTCCCCATTACATCATCAGCCCAATGTAAACACAAAATTTGACCTCGAGTGTTCCGAAATTGGCCCAGTTTGTTGTGAAAAGAAATTGCCTCTTATTTCTCTTGTGTTGATTTTCAGGAGATACATGTAAATCCATTGTATACTGGTTTTTGGGTGGCCAATCTACAGGTACATGTATAGTACCTCCAAAACCTGAGTTGAAACTGACGCCACAGGTCAGTTTCAACAGTGGGAGGGACCATCGTGTTCCATTGGCCGACTACCGCCCGCCTCAAGCCGGGCAGCTCCCGGGCAATAAGGTGTCGGCTCGCCAATGTCTGCCTGCTTTAGTGGGTGCCTAAAGCTTAATGTACACCTCAGACATGACAAGTAGATGGCAAACTTCACACCAGGCAAACAAACATATCAAGAAAACAAAAAAGTCTCCCATTATTCGACTTGCAAGTTGGAACATGTGCACTATGTGCACAAGTATTACTGGCGATCTTCGAGAGGTGGATGACACCAGGAAAACAGCTTTCGTCAATAGAGAGCTTTCCAGACTCAACATGGGCATAGCTGCCCTTCAAGAAACCAGGCTCCCCTCCAGTGGCTCCCTTAAAGAGGAGATCTATACTTTTTTCTGGAAGGGTAGAAAACCCAAGGATCCCAGGCAGCATGGAGTCGGCTTTGCCTTTAAGAACACCCTTCTAGCTTTGGTAGAACTCCCTTCTGGAGGCACCGAGCACCTGCTCTCCATCCGTCTCAGCACTGCTGTAGGCCCTGTTAACATCCTCTCCGTGTATGCTCCCACCCTCACCTCATTAGAAGAAACAAAGGATCGGTTTTATGGGCAGCTTGATGCTCTGATCAAAGGTTCTTCAGCGATTTCAATGCCTGGGTGGGCACAGATCATGAGGCATGGCCTACTTGCCTCGGGCACCACAGCACTGGGAAGACAAATGAGAATGGTCAGAGGCTATTGGAAGTATGCTGCTACCACAGCCTCTGCATTACAAACACATTCTTTGAGTGCAGGCCATCGCACAAAGTGTCCTGGAAACATCCTAGGGCTAATCGTTGGCACCAACTTGATTTTATTATCACCAGGCGCTCTGCTCTCAATAGTGTACTCGTCACTAGAAGCTACTGTAGTACAGACTGCGACACTGACCACATCCTTGTGTGCAGCAAAATACGCTTACAACCACGTAATCTGCACTGCTCAAAGCCCAAAGGTCGTCCTCGCATCAACACGGCACAGATGTCGGTTCCAGCTAAGGTGGAAAAGTACATGTACGTGTCCACCCTGGATCAAGCTCTTGAGGGCCTCCCAGAGCATGACGCCACAGCAATGTAATAATTTTTAGTTTTTTTAATAGTTTGTAATATCGAAACGGCGGTCAGCATGTCACTCATTCTTGCTCGCCGAGTTTTGTTTTGGTTGTCATCTATCTACGGTACCATTGATTTTAAATGATCATGATGATCTTCCAAAACCTACTGGAGCCACCCTGGGGATAATCAATGGTGGTCTTGATTTTAAATTGGCAGACTTTGTTCTCTGTAATGTTCATGGATGTGGCTTGCCATTATCACGTACGGATATGTACCACTTATCAAGAAACGAGAATTGAAAGCATCCCAACCGGCATCATAGTCTCATTTACTTGCTATTGCATGGACTGATTGCCTCTGGAGACATTGAGCTATAAAACCCAGGGCCTAACCCTCAGGATTGTCAAGATCACCGATTCATTATCGGCCAAAAAATTGTAAAAACATAACCAGTATTTTGTGCAGTGCCCGAAGCATCCGGAACAAAGGCCAACAGCATCTTTCCCATTTATATGTAAATACTCTCCCTGACATTCTTTTCAAGTCTTGACAATGAAAGTATTCTTGGGCTACCTGACGATTATGTAATACTGAGAAAAGACCGCCGCCCTGCACGCCAAGGTGGTGGTGTCATGGCTGCTGTCAACGCTTCCTTCGCGCCACGCAGACTCAACCATCTTGACCATCTCGATTGCAGTGATCGCAACAATTATAGAGGGATTTCACTCCTGAGTATTGTTGGTAAAGTGTTTGCTCGCATTTTTAGCAGGCTGCATTTACTTGCGGATTGAGTTTACCCAGAATCTCAGTGGGGATTTAGGACAGGCAAGTCAACAACGGATTCGATCTTCACCCTTCATCAGCCAGGGTTCTGCCCAGGATGGTTTCAGTGCCGGCAGGACTATCTAAGTGGAGCGCCACCATGGGTTGGCGCGGAGCGTATAAGAAAATTTTTTGAATTTCAAAGCCCCCCAGATGGCCAAAAACGGCACTTTCTGAGTGTTTTCAACTGTGTATACACAGCCAAGAATTAGGGATCTGATGTCTGAAATTTCTTAATCAGGAAAAAAATCTTTGNCCTAGCCCAGAGTTGCACTGCTCTTCTGAAAGGGAAGTTTTCCAAGGGAGGACCTTCTATCACAACTCTAAGAATTGCATCAAGTGTCTGTTCTACCATTCTGTTTCTGACCTTAGTTTTAACCAGCTTCAATTGTGAGAATGTTCTCTCTGGATCAGCTGTGTTTGTAGGAATGACCCTAAGGATCTTTGACTGAAGTTAGGATACACAGCCTGCAATGCTTGCCTTGTGCACAGCCTCTGAATGAGGTCTGTGTCTGACATCTCAGAAACCTGCTTGGTGTAATTCTTGAGAGACATCCACTCCTGTTGCAACTCATCAAGAGTTCCTAAGACATTAGAAGCTTCAAAGAAGCCATGTGCAGCAGTGACAGTACTTTTGCCATAGTCTGGCAACTGGCTTGTAGGTGTCAAATGAATCTCAGAAAGCTTGAACAGTGAGAGAAGCAAACTCATACCCTGTACATCCTCCCCATTGAATCGATCTTGGAGGTTTTCAGTAAGAGCATCAATGTACCTCCCCCTGACATTATTCCTGAAATGTGTTTCATCAGATGGATTTTGAGGGCCTAGTTTTGCAATGGCCAGGAATTCAGGAAGCCTTGCCAGATTAACCCCATCTGTTTCCTTCAAAGATTTCAGAGTGGTGATGGTGGATGTGACAAGTTCATGTACTAAAGTGTAATCTGAATCTTTCTTTTGGAAAGCTTTGGATAAAGCATTGATGTGTGGGAGGACATCACACAGCAGGAGCATGGTAGCAGTGAATTTATATGTTGTGACTAACCTATTCAGCCCCAGAGCCCTTGTATCTGTCCTCTCAGTGCCTTCCCTCTGCAGGGTTACAATCAGATCAGGGAAAGCTTTCTTCACCCTCTCTACACTGTTCCCAATTGACAACCACCTGGTTGTAGAAGGCTCAAGAAGCTTACCAGGGGTATCAGTTTTCCCTTCACCTTCTTTCTGAGGCAGCAGGATGTTTTGGACAGCCAGAAACCCTGCGGTTCTTACATTGCTATTATCAAAAAAGTCAAACAATTGTCTAAGGACATTTTCAAACTGGTCAACATCTTTGATACATTTTGCAGCTTGAGAAGAGGCAAGGTTCAAACGATGGGCAGTGCAGTGTATACCAATTAGGCAGGGAACATCATCTTTCAGTCTCTTAACTACACCACTCTTCCTCCCAGTCATCACAGCAGCTCCATCTGTTCCAACCCCCCTCATTCTTTGCATATCAATACCTGCTTTCTCAATGTATTCCTTGACCCTTTTTGTGATGACCTCAGCATTCAAAGAGATTATCCCTGCCTCATTAGGATAACCATCACCACTCCTGGCAGCTCTGGATATGGCATCTATTTCAGGCTGCAAAACATCAACAATCTTCAGAAATTTCACTTGAAGGTCACCATCAGAATTCAAGTATCGTGCATGGAGAGCCAATTGTTCAATATTTGTACAATCGCTAGACTCATCGAATATCAGGGCAAAGTGATCTGAGGTTGCGAGCTCTTTCAAAGTGTCATCTTCCAAGACCTCAGATAGCACATACAACATCTCTTGAACCGTTTTATCTGATGTATATGTGGCATTTTTTGCAACACGAATCTGCTCCTTCACTTTTAGTCCCAGGAATGATAGAAAATCAAGTAAAGGTTCAAAGTTAGTGATGTGTGCAACCCGCCTCTGCACCAGAAAGTACAAGGATGCGAATGCCTTTTCCATAGCCGAAAGGGAGACGGCAGGGTTAGAGGCCTCCCTGATATCTTGCATGAGCATGTTCTCCCTATCCTTCTGCATTGCATCCTTATGGGATTCACACTCTTCATGCTCTTTCACAGAGCCCTCTCTCATACGAATACAGGGGGCAGTGTTCCATTTTGGTCGACCATATGGCATCTTCTTGTACTTTTGGCATAAAAGACAAAACATTCCAACACCGGGTTCATGGTGCAGCCAAGGTCGATTTTTTTTTTCCGTTCCGGGTGGAAGTAGTTGGCCTGTTTACCCTTAGTCTTTTTAACTCCACTCGTTGATGGGGTAGACTGATCAGGGGAGTCAGAACCAGGATCTCCCAGGGAAAAAGGATTAGGCTGATGGTGTGTATCATCCCCAGTGTTGGTGTCACCATCCCTAGCAGATGGTCCTGGTTGTGGAACATGGGCAGCCCCAGTTGCAGGGTGGTTCTCCCTAACAGAGGATGTCTGTTTCCTGTAGTGAAATCAACACAGAGTGTGTGTTAGTTTGCAGCTATTTTAGTACTCTACAATGCTGACCCTCCCCCAAAAGTTCACCAAATCATTGCGTCATTTCAATAATGTTGATTCCAGTATCTGAAGAAAATTTTGTAATAAAATTTGGTCAACATTAAACAATGCACGTATTACTGCCAAAATAATATTTCTTTTTGTCCCAATAGAATCGCTAAAATTTCCTGTTTTTGTTTGAGATAGTTTTGGAGCCAGAATTCACTTCATCTGTAAGCATCATATACATTATTTCAAGAGGTACCTTTATCCATGTGCATACAAAAACAAATGTATGAAATAAATTGATTCTATTCTGTAAATCCCTTAAATATTAAATTAATTCGTATCTCTATGTTGCCCATACTTTTCCACATTATTTTTCATTTTTTTTGTGTTTAAAATAAGGCAAAACATGCAAAAATCTTGGCAAAATATTTTCCTTATTTTCTTTTTACCCCCTCCCCATTTCTAAAGTGGACCGTGCCAAAGTTACGTGTACAGCTTCACAAAAAGACCGACCGAGCAACGAACGAAAGTTCGAATGCGCTGTCGACATTCATAGTGTGTGCCACACGGTACGCGTATGACTGAAATCTCGGCCTACCCCCAGAACTGTGGGGCCCCACGTCCGCTCCGCTCCCACGTGGTAGCGGAGCGGACGTCGGGCCCCACAGTTCTGGAGGTAATCTCGGCCCGGGCATATCGTGTGTATGAGAAAGATTTTTACTGCAAATTTTCTTGAAGGAAAAGTAATCACAGTTGGTAGATATTTTAGGAGGGTTTCAGGGAAGCAGTTTTTGAGAAATTTGAACACAACGTTGAGATCTTTAACTTCTATCTAAGATCTGTTACGTGTCCATGAGAATCATGTAACGTTACTCCATTATCGTCGATATAGGTGGAGAAAGTCTACGAAAACATTTTTCTCACCAGTCCCTAGTCTCACCTGAAAAACTTGTCCAGCGTTCCAAGCTTCATCCGCTTTGACTTATCGACACTATGCCAACACAGTCACTCGAACAACTTCCAGAAAAATATTCTCCTCTCCCTCTCTTGGAGCTGAATCAGCTGTCACACGCAAGCCTAAAGCACTTCGGTCGAACATCCGGGCACTTTCGTGAACCGAAGTCAAATATGCATAGCAACCGTACAGCAGCCATGCTCTGGAGTGAAAACAAACCGCGCTGGATGGAGTAAGTTGTGCACGTGATCGACGGTAACGTTTTGTATGGTCCCATCACACGTTTCAAGTGGACTCTTCGGTTCGAAACTTCAATTCTTCAACGAATTTCAGCCTTCAAAATACTTAGGCTGTGTGAAGTTGTTGGATGCACAAACC